AAACTCTGGACTTTTTTTACTTTAATACTGTGCATTTGAGAAGAATGTATTATGGAACCCGCCCCTTGGGTTCGAATCTGCCGCGAAATTACAATCCAAACATGCGACGTGCGCGCGCAGCAGAGCCTCACTTTTGGGCGCCTCATCCCTCCCGTGTGTGGCACCTATGGTGGCACCCGTGAGATTCTGGGAGAGAGGTGTCAAGATGAGGTTATGTTTGATTGTTTGGATCCAGTTCGATACAATCGATACCGACTGTGACGTGGCACTAATAGCGTCTATAGCCCTTTCCACACGTTGCAAGTTTTGATGCAAGTGAGCCGAAAGTGGGAGTCATCACTCATCGATGGTCGTGAAATTTGCGGACGGGACGCAAATTTCAGCATCATCGATGAGTGATGACTCCCACTTTCGGCTCACTTGCAGCAAAACTTGCAACGTGTGGAAAGGGCTTATATGTTCGTTTTGTGGGGCACGTTTCGACTTTCGAGATATCGAAATTAAATCGAGATGTGACGTCACACTAAATTCGTCTATTCGTAGTATGAAAAACGGACCATCACATCAAGTCCGATTTATTTGCTCTATTAATCAACTCATGATATAACGAACACTTTTTGTAGAATGACTTTTTTCCATCAAATACACCGTTTCCAAGAAAACCTATGATAAAAGTCGTCCGTACCGACGTACGTCATCAAAAGAATCCGAGATGCCCGTAATGCAAACACCTCCATTTCTTTCTCTTATGGTTGCTTATGGTCAAGATTGAGATTGTTTGTTTACCTGCAGATAAGGATAAGAGCAGATTCAAAATTCGAATTACAAATATTTTTTTCATGTTCAAACCTGCCTGCCTCCGGCAATCTCGAATTAATATTATTATTATTTAATTATTAATTTCATTACACATACATTCGTAGTTCCTCCAAAACGTGCCGGAAATCACCTTTCTTCCTTCTGTCTTAATCACGCTTTGTAAGTAAATCATCAGCTGCAGTCACTTTTAATTTTATTCCATGTTCTTTGATACAGAAATGAACACTAATGATGAAGGGTATTCTCGAGTGAGAGTTGCATTTTGTTTAGAATACTTAAATTCTTCCTTCTTACTGGCTGTGCCATCAATATTTTCAGCCAAGTAAGTAGCTTGTTCACAGTGATCAGTTGGGTAAAGCTTGTTCTTGCTTAAAGCTGTACACATCATTAAGAAATTAGATTTTCAAAATGCCACTGGGTGATTTCATAATTACAGGAGTAGCTAAAATGTCCAACACTGTACAAATAAAAGTGGACTAATGTTAACCAAATTTCATTACTTCGTTTTGAAGGTATGAAATTTCCCTTTTCTAGCTTTGTCACGGACTATTTACTTTGATTTAAGAATCCCTTTATACCCAGAGTTAAGACAACTCGATTATCAGCTGACTGGCAGCCGGCCTTGGCTGGCCATGGAGGCCGAAACGAGTGCACCCAAACGAACGATATTGACGGATAAGGATCAGGAATCCTGCGATGACTGTCACACAAAAACAACATCAACAAATTGATCAATTAAAAAGAAAATGAGATTGGCTTGTGAATAATTTCTTAATCTATTTTCATTTTGGCCTGATTGAAATAACAATTTACTCTTGATAAACCGCAATTAGGTAATATTTTCATTATTCTTGTTCACATTCGAGGTACCGCCATCTTGGTGCACTCGTTTCGGCCTCCATAAGCGAGAACCAATCAGAATTGGATTTTTTTTAGGCCACTTTCAGCCCAACCAAAAATGAGTTGTCTTAACTCTGGGTTTAAAGGGACTCTACTTTGATTCAGTACTAATTATAGTGATTAACGAACAAGCCATTGAATCAGGTATCAGCTCTTCCTGCAGGACTGCTGAAAGTCCATGCAAATATGGCTGCACTGCCAAATAGAGATGTTGCATGTGTGAGGAGTTTATGGTTTGACTAATGATTCTTCTGTAAAACTTCGCAAGAAACACGATTGTGCCACTTGTTTTCTCTGAAATCAACTCCCAAGCTCATATAAAGCTCTCAAGTTGAGGCCAAAATAGAGGGGATATCCCATCTTACTAGGGATGTCGATACTTATCCGATACTTGCAAAGTATCGATACTTTCAATCGATACTTAACGTTACTCGGCATCGATACTTCATGATATCGATACCAAGCAGTATCGATGCCAAGACCCCAGTATCGACGGTATCGATACTTGATCTGATTTGGCCATGAAGAAGGCCTCTTTTTCTTCTTTAAAAAATTCTCTCCCCACTATTTCACCTTCATGATGCACTGTGACAAACGACGGAGTAATCAAGTTTCTCAAGATGATTATACTTCAATAAAAATGTTAAAAGCTCAGTTCGATAACTGTAGTCAAGGGCTCAAAATAGTTGACTAAGGACGCGAACAGGGCTTTTTCGAGAGAGGCGGAAATCTGGCGGAATTTAACGGCGGACAGACATATGCACACTCAGAATCACGGCATAATTCAGAAATAGTATCGATGGTATCGATACCTCATAAGTATCGATACTTCAGCTCGATGCTCGATACCGGTATCGATGCTTAGAGTCGATACCAGTATCGATACTGAGTATCGATACTTCCCTGAGTATCGACATCCCTACATCTTACCCTGAGAGTCCACGTCAACATCAAGACAAACTCTCCATGGAAAGATAGGGAGTAACGACATTGACAGGGCTGTCACTTTATTTGGGGACTCCAAAACTGAAAACACGGCTACCCTGCTAATGAATTTGCTCCCTGTCTTTGCATGGAGAGTTTGTCTTGATGTAGAGGTGGACTCTCAGGGTAGGGTGGGATATCCCCTCCATTTTGGCCTCAACTTGAGAGCTTTTTGTGAGCTTGGGAGTTGATTTCAGAGAAAACCAGTGGCACCATTGTGTTTCTCGCGAACTTTTAAAGAAGAATCAACAGTCAAATCGCAAATTCCTTACACATGCAACATCTCCATTCTGTCAGTTATGTAACCAACACTTGGAAATGTGAAATGACAGATAATACAAAAGATGAAACTTGGCATTTCTTGAGATTTGAGGTGGAATTATTGCTACCTAAAAAGTTTCCAAACTTTGGGGACTACCTTTTAGTTGAATAATTTCAATTTGAGGATATGGTGTAGTGAGAAATAAGTGCTGCACACCTATGAATCACTGGTTTTCATCAAAATTATTGTTTTCATTGCAAAATAAGCTGACTTATTATTAATGGTCTGGTCGAGAAGACTTTAGCGAACAATTTGATGACCACTCTGAAACTTCTGGCTCCATTTGGCGAGATTAACACTGCACCTAATACAACTGCTAAAATAAGTTGCCAAATGTGGTGACATTTTTTTCTAATGACTTTTCTCGCTTTAGAATAAACATTTCAGTTCAAAATGGCAATTTTCTTGAATACTCCTTTCGGCAGTTATTGCCAAAGAATCCATGATCTGTACTGATTTATTACCACAAATTGCTCTTTTGCCGTTCTCTCTCACTCACTCTTTGGGTGTTCAATTACGCACTTGTAAGTAAGTGAGAGCTTATCCTTCAGTCATTTATGCACAGTTCGTTATTGGAATTGTGAATAGACATACTCCATTCTGAATCCATCCCCCATTTATGATGATCTTCGCCTAAATTTTGTCTAAATTTTTACTTACTTTACGTAGTAGAGTTTGAAGCATGTAATTTTAAACTTCTCCATCAGCTACCCTGAATTTTCAAGATGTTTGAACAACTGACTCTGATGTTAGGTCAAAAATTCGACCAGTTTTCTTTTCAAAATTTTAAGCAGGACATACTGCATGTACATATTAGCAACTTCCAAAATTTACTTTTATGTGAATGATTAATGTTAGTTGTTAACATTCTTAATAGAGTTGTCAAATGCCCTGCTCACCCAAAATCTATGATGAACGCAGGGCAAATAAGCTGTTAAGAACAACAAGCGCTCTGTTTCGTACCTATTTCCATCCTGCTCATAGGTACAGCAGGCACCTGGCACCTCTAATCTTGTCAAAGGAAAATTCAACATACAGAAAAATTCTTCCATTTTCTAATACTTTTATTTCTATTTGTCTTGTGCTTGATTTGACTGGAGTAGACTCACATCTACTGTAAGTGGTAGTAAGGTCTGGATACATGATCAAATCCCCGAAACATCTAAGTGTCATGAGTCATCAGTCTTAAAATTGTTACTCTGCTTGGTTTTCAAATGAAAACTTGGCAAAATTGTTTTGTGTGGCAAGAAATGATGAATGGTGGACTCCATTCTGATCAAATGTGGTGTAGTCGGACCTGAGTTTGACACCATCTAAGACCAAAGATATTAACCTATCAAAAGAAAATTGTATCTATTTTGGTTCAGTGTTTTTCTATGATTCTTCATTTGTTATGGTATTCAGGGTGTGGCCAACCAAGGTATAAAATTGGTACTTCTGTCAAGTTGCACTTTAATTGCCTAAGTTAGTTGTACCCAAGTTGTTTAATTCACTACTTTACAGAACGAGCCAGGCTGAGGGTGGAGATAAAAAATTGTTGTAATTATTTATGTTTTTTCCAGAATAATTAAAAGTTTGATGGCCCATCCAATTTTGATCAAAGAAGACTGTTGCATGGTGACCATCAGTCATCAAGAGGTCTGCTATGATCGGAATTGGTTCGGAATTTATCGAGACCTTTAGAGAAAACTTTTCTTCATGCACATACCTACTGGGCCTCTCAAACTGGCTTCAATTCCTTAATTTCTCTGCCAGTTCTGCTCGAAATTCCTTGAAAATTTCATGATCTGATGTATAATTTGTCTCAAATGTTTTCCCCTCATTTCTCGATCAGGTGAAAATGTAGTTTACAGTTCTTTGACCCTCAAATACAGTTATATGTCATGTATGTCATTATTTTTGATGGGTAAATCTTGCAAATTCTCATAAAATTTCTCATAATGGCAGTTGTACCTAGTTCCGAACGCCTGTTAATTTTCTCCCCGATGGCATTCTCAAAACTTCTCACACTCTTGTGGCAATCTCAGCATCCTTGATTTTGTAATCTGTGGTTTACTTTTTTCCTGTGTGAAATCCACATTCACTTTTGTAATATTTTGACATAATTCCTACATGTTTTGCCAAGTGTAAACTATTCTTACAATGTAAAGCTAAGCTAGAGGCATGATCAAAATGGTCTCATCAATCTAGAGTACCTGTATAGCGAGAGTATAGACAGGAGTGAAAGTTCAAAAATCCATCAGGCCTTCACCGATGCCTCAGCAAATGAAGTTAAGGTCCAAAAGGGCAGCCAACCTATGAATTCAAATTATCCAGAACGATTTATTATTACCTACCATTGTTACGACTCGGCATTTGTAATGCATGTATTTGACTTAGTTTTTGCTCAAACTTACTCATTTTTGCGGGAGAACGCTCATACATGAATATTCCTGACCATCTTGGTTTGAACTGGAATCTGAAGACTGGCCGTGAAATTTTGTGCGTCAGAAGGGCGGCTGCCTTTTTGGGCCTTAAGCCCTCCATAAAGCGACCTGTCCATACTGTCGCTGTACAGGTACTCAAATCAATCAATCATCCAGTCAGGCCTGGCGTTGTAGGCAGAAGCACATGGTAAAATTTCATGAAAATCCTTGCCAAGGAATTTAAAATTAATAAATATTTTTAAAAAAGTATGCAAATTATTTTATTTATGTAGGTACCCCAACTGATCGCAGTGGACGCAAGGGTCGTAAGACAGTATGTTGGAGTTTTTTTACCAAGCTCGAGAGGTCGTGAAAACCAGCCCGTGAAACCGGCAAGTAAACTTGCGCCATCTAGTGAGCGATTATCCAAACAGCTCCGCATAAGCCTTGGCAAGGCAGTTTTACACAAACTGATTGCGGTGGACGCACAGGTCGTAAGACAGTATGTTGTAGTTTTTTGCCGACGTGCATTAAAAATTCAGCATAAAGTTGAAAATATCAACAATAAATTTTTAATGCACGTCGGCAAAAAACTCCAACATACTGTCTTACAACCCGTGCGTCCACCGCAATCAGTTTGTGTAAAACTGCCTTGCCAAGGCTTATGCGGAGCTGTTTGGATAATCGCTCACTTGACGGCGCAAGTTTTCTTGCCGCCAGCGTCCGCTTGACCAAGTCCCGGGCTGGTTTTCACGACCTCTCGAGCTTGGTAGCAGAAAATTTAGGAGGCTGAACTGCACTGAGGTTGGGCCCAACAAGACCGAAACGCGACTGCAGTTGCTTTCCTGAATGGGTGCAACTAGTGTTGCACCAAACAGCATATCTCTTTGAGGGAAAACTGCGCTCGAATGAGCTTTATCCCTCTGTATTGAGATTTTCAACTTTATGCTAAATTTTTAACGCACGTTGGCAAAAAAAACTCCAACATACTGTCTTATTTATTTACTTAGGTAACATATTTGAGGCATGAGGAATCAAGGAAGACCAAAATCTCTGGTTACTTGATAAGTTTGGGTATGAGTTCAATGTCGACTTTGCGGTTTCAGACTTTAAAAGAACCTTTCAAATCAATCCCTAATTATTTTTTTATGTTCAATAATACTTAGAGATTGCTTTGTAATACTGTTTATTTACTTTTTTTCCTCTAGATTCTAAAATGCCCGTGTATGGTAGTGCCAAAGGGACAGAAGCCATTCAACTAGGTCGTGACCTTCCTCCAGAAAAACGGCTTGATCTCTATGAATTTGAGCTTGAAAATGATGAAAATGAAGTTCCTGCGAAGAAGTTCAAGAAAAGGAAACCCCGTGAAAAGCGAAAAGAAATTAAATTCTTTGAAAATATTGGGAAAAAAGTCCCTCCCCCCTCAAAGCCAAAAAAAATTGCTAAGAAGTCCCCTGAAGAAGTATCAAAAAGAGTCCTTCCCGACAGAAGGGCTCTGCGCACAATTATTCCTGCAGAATCTACTCATTTCATCTCCAGTTCTTCAAAAAATAGTACACGATGTCCAAATTTGTCGTCTAAATGGGAATTATCGCACAGCGTCTTATCCACTGCTGCCTCCGATAAAAGCCTCAGCAGCAATACAATTTCAGGCCTGTCAACTTCCAGGAGTGTTAAAACGAATGCACGGAATCACTCCTCCAACAATAGTTTATTTTCTCTCAAAGATGTCGCACCCCCTTTCACTCAAGGTTCATCAACGCCTCTGTCAGAGTCCGAAAACATAGACCATCAAATCTCATTCAACAATTTAAGTGAATCTGTCATCTCCAACAAGAGCTCAATCAGAACAAGTCCATTTGCTAATAATTTTAAGGTACCAACCTCAGTCACTGTACGCAGTTTGAGACCTCGCCAGAAAAAGAATATGGCTCCACATAGTTCATCACCTAAAGCATCAAATATCCAATGTTCCTTCCGGAATGGAGGGGAACATCCTCTTTCTTCCTCACCAAACATCATTGAAAGTCCTAATAGAACTTTACTTTTTGGTGCCACCTCTCCAATTGCAAAACCAAACTCAGCATCTCTTGCCATGTTATCTAGTGGAAGTGGAGTTTACTCTCTGGATGATGCAGTCGGATCAGTAGAATCTTTAGACTCTCTGGATAAATCTTACGGTGATGAAACCTGTTTGATTGCTGGCAAGGAAAATAATTCGTACTTCTCGGTTGGTGAAGAGGACATCTGCCATTATTTTGGTTTTGAAGAAACGGAAGAAGAAGGAGAAAAGGTAAACCTTTCTCTGAAGTCCAAAAAAAATTGTACAAATGATCCAAGAACGAGAAACTCTGAAAATGTTCAGGGAAAAATAAAATGCCAGAAAATGGAATTTCAAAATGACACTTGTGAAACGGCTGAAAAACCATCCATTGGTCAAGTTCTATTATTATTGAAATCGAGTGTCGCAACAGACCCAGCCCCTCTTGAATGCGAATCGGAGCTCTTTGGTTTACCAACCTACATCTGGTCACCCTTAAAATCGCAGCAGTGTGAAGAAACAGAGGATGCCGTAGAGAAGGTAATAAACACAACTTCTGCATGCTTCCTTATTCTTAATATCACAAAAGTTCATTCAGTTAAATTATCTAGGGACTCAAAAAATGTACACTTATGTGGCATTTTGAGTTACCCGATTTTCTACGTAACTTGAAATCAGGGTGAAGATGACTTTACTTTCAAGGTAAGTGGTAATTTCACCTTTCTGCACTCTTTAAGTGAAATATTAACACTCAAAGCATGGAAGCCCACTTTTTCAAGGGGCGTGCTGAATCATTTCATGCAGACAAAAATCCCGAACCTCCTGAAGAAAACGACATTCCCTCTTTTATTTTAAAACTTTTTCACCGGCAAATTTTTAATTATGCTCTCTCTCTGTGTTGAAAATCAAATCAAATAAAATTGGTGTGAAATTTTCAATGCTTTAATTTCCTTCTTTTTCCTAAATTAGTCAAGCAATTCACACCAATCATCACATTGTAAACTCTACTTTCACACCTGTAATTTCTTCTGATTAATAGTTTTGCAGTCTATCCTTAGTTTGTTTTCGACTACTGACAATTCCTTTGTTTACCAGTTCCAGTTGTCCTTCTTTTATTCTGTCAGGGTCAAATGGTCCAAGTGTTCGTGCAAGCGCGCCTGTACATCAGCTTCCTCAACAGTAAAGTAACAAACTGTTTTCTGAAGTTGTATTTTAAATTTTCCTCCTCTATTTTATAGCCTGCTGCCAATAAAAAATGTGGCAGAAAACCGAAATTCATCATCGACAAGGCAACATCAACTGCTTTGGCCGGTGAGAAAGACAAAGGGGACCTGGGGAAAACATCTAGAAAAGAAATAACTTTTCGAGCAGAGGAGAATCCAACGAAAGGCCTCAACATGAACCATTCAGCAATGGAGGTAAAATTATTTTAACAGTTGCAATAGACTTTAAACCATTATAGACTAGTATAAATATTCTTGTCATTTTTTAAAGCTTAGGAATATTTTCAAACGTCTCAAGTTTATAGTTCAGCAGGATGGATCACTAGACAAGGTAAAAATTTAAGCATCATGATGTCTGTGCTCTCAAGAAAAAATCTCCATAGAATATGATTTGACATCGAAAATTACTACAAGTAATTTTTACTGAATGTAACCGTGACATTCTCTGCAGTGTGGAAGTATGACAACATTAATCTGGGCGTCTCAGCTCAGCTACTGCATGTTGTTTACTCTTCAAACAACAGAGGGTGGGGGAGGAACCCTGCTCGTTTAAGAAGCTTGCCAAAAACGTTTTAGTTCACGATTTGATTAGAGTGTACCTACTCTTGTTTATCTTGTGAGCAGAATATTGAAATTTTTCGTAACCAGTGCTGAATAAAAACGTTAACATCTTGGTTAAGAGTGGACAGCAGCTACTTTCGTTGCGCAAATGGTTTTCTTGGTGAAAGTTTTGAGAGGTGATATCTATCGGAATGCCTAAATTTGTACCTTGTATAATGGTCCATTAAGGCTAATCTTGGCTCATCAAACTTATTCATTTCTCATTAAATATTAATTACACCATAACTTTGTGTATTTCATACAGTGTGCAGTTTTGTAGGTTTTAGTCACTTAAATCTGAAACAGGGTGATAAGTTTTTAGGAAGTGGGGGAAAATCTGGGAAATTAAGTCAATTTCACTGAACCTCGAAGAGACAGAGGAAAGTGAAAACGTAGGAAGTCTTTCTCATAAGAATTAGCCACAATCTTTTTTTCTAAAATGTTTTCTTTCTTGGAAACTTTTTCTTTTTTGCAAAAACGTCGAAAGTACATTGAACGAAAAAAGTGTCAAACTTAATAAAACTGAAATGGTTCTTACCGCATTCATCAGCAGAGCTAAATCTTTGCATTTAGGATGTCACAGAAATACCTTTTCATCCTTGGAAAGTCGGTTAATTTTCTCGTATAAATCCTTAAGAAGTTAGGAAATTTCAAATTTAAGGGGATTTGTTGCCATGTTGTAGGCACTAGTGGCTGTTTTTTTGTACGTGCTGCAAGGGCCATGCATCAAAAACTAATGGACTCGTAGCCAGCTGAATTTCGTTATCCATTGAAATGATGGTTTTTACTACCTACTGAGCGCAATATGTTTCTTGCTCAGGAAGTCGTAGAGAACTCTGTGATCGAAGGGACGACATTCTGCCATAAGAAACGACACCTAAAAAACAACTATTTCTGGCTCACTTTAGAAACAACATACATATACATGTCAATAAATTCCCTACTTAGATACAGGACAGGTGTCGTTAGCTAGTTGGCATATATTTACTTTCCGCTCGATAGGGACCGCCATGCAATGGTCCAATAACAACCACAATACAATGCAATCGTCCAATAGCAACCGCAGTGTAATGCAATGCAATTGTCTAATAGCAACTGCTTGCAAACAGAATATAAACAAGTGCCAACTTTGCTGACAGCACTTCCAGTTATTTTTATTTTTAGCAAGAAATAATAGTTCCTTTTTGCAGAATGTAATTCAGATACAACAGAAATTTATGCGACATCATTCTGCATTTTCTGTTCAGGGTCCTCTCTTTTCTCAATGGCTCATAATAGCTTAAAAACTTAGGAAATTTTTTATACAGAAAATTTTCACAACAGACCTCTCTCTTACACTTCTTGTTCTAAAAAATTGTGTTCTGAAAACCCTCCACATCTTTTTTTTCCGGTATCAAACCGATGCTGCAGCCCTTGAATAATCAATTGCTTCTTTGATGATTTTTGCTTTTTGTAACCATCATTTACTTTATTTTCTCAAATTGTGTGTGCCAATTTTTAATTTACAGAGTTGCTCAAAACTGACTGCAACTGATGATGAAAAACTAGGAAATCTTGACGAGACTTTCGATAGTGAAAACAAAGTGTCAAATATCGTCTATAAAATTCCAAAACGTGGGAAAGAAGCAAACAAACTGCTGAAAGAGAAAAAAGAAGCAGAGGGGAGTAAGAAAGAGGTGAGATTACTAAATTTATAGTTCTTCCATCCATTTTTAGTGTATTTTCCGAAGAAAATACACTTTTGCATTTTTTTTTCTTTTTTGTAAAACGTACACTAAGTAATATGGATTGCATTTTACAAAAAAGTACCAAAAGCATCCCAATGTTGCTAAGATTCTGCAACTCACATTCTTTGCAATAAAATGACTGAAGTCGTGTAAAAAATTAAATTTACAAAGGTAATTTAAACTTTGAAATATTCAAAAACTCCGGCTTTCCCTTGGAGATTATTTACTGGACACGTTTCGGTGGCTACCCAGGCCACCATCATCAGCTAATTGATTCATTTTAAAATCGACTTACTGTTGGCTGTGCAGGCGCGTTAGTTATCGGTGTTTACGTGGGCGGGTTGGGTTTCTGTGGTTCAAATATTTTTTTGAAGGTATAGATTGCAATAACCGATTGTGGATACATTCTAAATCAGTGTTGGTGAAATTCTGTCTATTTTTGAATATCTGGATACTTTCCAAGATATTAAGCATGCTCACTTTCTGGGCAGTTCTTATCAGTTTCGGTTCAAAATTAATATCGTGCCCTTCCTCGCTAAAATGTTTGGCTGCAGCTGATTTGTCTATTTCTTTGTTTAGGGCATTTCTTCTATGTTCGATCCCTCTTTGTCTAATGGTCCTCCAGGTCTGACCACAAAGACTTTGTCACAATCATTGCATTGGATGTTATAGATCCCGGAGTTTTGTTCATTTGGTATTCGGTCCCTAGAAAATAATTGGAATGTTTTGTCTGATGTTGGTTCTATTTTTGGGTGCTGCTTTAAGATTGTATTTTTAGAAAATGATATGTGATGGTGGCAAATGTGTCCTCGTTTTTTTTCAATTAGTTCTAATGTGCTTATTTTCCTAATTCTATTCCTATGTTCATTCTTCCTACATAGTCAATTTTAATAAAACAATCGAATTTTTCACAAAAGGTACACTTTTTACAAAGGTAATTTACGTCTTGAATTCATAATTTATTGGGAGTAAAGATAAAAATTGTTTAGATGATCGGTTTACATTTGCAAGGTAAAGAAAGTTGCACCTTCTTAGCGACATTGGAATGCTCTTGGTTCCTTTTTGCTAAATGTAATCCATATGCACTACAGGGTGGAGCATTTTTGGACGTTTTTTCCATCTGAAAACAGACATAACACGTAAGTGGCGAAATGGTCTAAAAACAACGCCTGAATTTTCCTGAATTTTTTTGTCAACATTTGGATCGCCCGCATTGACGCTGATGTCAAAATTTGCGGAGAATTCAGGTTTTTTGATGTTAACATGGCAACAATGGCTAATACGACACAAGTTCACCCGACCAAAGTCCTTAAAATTAAATTCACATTGAAAATCTCTATTCGTTTTTTCTCTTAGTGCAACCGTTATTGTGTAAAATTCTAAAACCCTTATTTTTCTGGAAATTTAGTACAAATTCTAGTTCAGTCCAGGAGAAATAAGACTAAGTAGGAACAAATTGCGTAACAGACTTTTCCTACAAGAATATCATCATTAGGTTGGCCTGAATTAACACAAGACATACAAAAAGTTTGCCACGGTTTGAATGCGTAAAACCCCTTAAAATGCCTAAAATTCAAAGAGACGGCCTTGTTTTGATTATCTAGCATCATGGTAATTTAAAATGTGCATCTAGTGTGGTGTGAAGTGGCCTCCTCACGTCATTTTGGTCGTAAATTTCAAATACAGTGTCAAATAAAGCCCCTGGTCCATCGGGGTGAACCAAATCCAGGAAGGTGGCCTACTTTGAATGGCAGGAGGGTGACTTTTAAAGTTTGATTGTAATATATTTTAAAGGTTACGATTTCTGTATCACATTGATCATGGTCAAGCAGTTTGATGAATATGTTCAAGATTTATTTTTCTTTTATAAGACCTTATACATGACCCAATGAATAATGCCTGGTCAGGAGGGCTGCGTAAAACGGATTGGCTGAATCCGAAAGTTACAAAGGTAGAAGATGGCGCGGTGATTCAAGTGATGATTTTAGTGAATGAAGACAGTTTTGGTCGTATTTCAAATGTAAAGTTAAAAATGCCTTCTAATCAAGCAGGGTCTCCCAAGTACAAAATAAGTATATGACGTCTAAATTTAAAGGATAGAATCAGTGATCCCAAGCGTACGGATATTTCCGTGCCGCGCGGACCTTCCCTATACCCGCGCGGACAGCGTATGGACCAAAACCTTATGGGAAAATTTTTCCCTATCTTAAATGGTCCGTACGCTCGCCCGGCCCTGCCCGTGCGTCTATTAATCCGCTTTTCTTTGCAATATTTATTACTTTTGCGGAAGTTATTGATACAATTATGTTTAGTATGAAAGCTGGGTATCGTTCGGGAACAAATTATATACTTTTTGCATTAATTATATTGTATTCTTATCGAAATTCAGTCATTTCATTTAAGGCCCGTGCACTCGCCCGGCCCAGTCCGTGCGTCTGTTAATCCGCTTTTCTTTGCAATATTTATTACTTTTGCGTAAGTTATTATACAATTATGTTTAGTATGAAAGCCGGGTATCGTTCGGGAACAAATTAGATACTTTTTGCATGAATTATATTGTATTCTTATCAAAATTCAGTCATTTCATTTAAGGTCCGTCCCTGTTTTCTGTATTGTTGTGCTTTTGTGTTTGATCACTTTGACATTTTTTCTTATTTTTATTTCTCAATTTCGCCAATGTTATTGATATAAAGAAGCCACGAATAAAACCCAGGTATCCTACAGGACCTGATTTAGTACTTTTTGTATTAATTTATGTGTTATTCAATCAGTTCAATGGGTTAGGAATTATGAATTTCATGAAAAGTCAGCTCCTTTCTTTTGAATTATTGCTTTTTGATCTAGGTACCTATAATTGTTCCGATTATTTTTTCCTGCCAATGCTTTCGAGAGGACATAGGTACTTGAATGTCGCTATTCAAGCATGATTTGGACGTAGGTAGCTACAACAGTTTGTTCGCAGCATTCAAAAATCACTGCTAGGTATTTTTTAAAAGAGAACAAATCAACATCATTCCTTGAAATTCTCTCAGAATTTTCTTTGCCCAGAGAGGAAAAATCATGGAAGTTCTTATAGGAATTGATGTTTAGTAGGTATGGCTAAAAGTTCACAATACTTTGAACTAGAATTCTCATTTATCAAGATTCACCACCATAGTTCATAATATTTAAAAATCACGGGAGGCGATTCACGGAGCACGGAGCGGCACGGACATACACGAGCCCATGTGTACGGACTTTTCAAGATAGGAGCACCTGGGAACACTGGATAGAATTGAAAATTTAAAGTGTGATAGTAAAAAATCTTTGAAAGTGGTCTACCAGTTCCATTAGATGTTTACAATTAGTGTTGGATTGAGTTCTTTTACCCAAATTCCAAATTTTAACTTTTGAATCCTTGGGTCCGAATCCATCGCCAATCCTTAACTTTTGAGAAAATCCGGACCTTTTTTGGTATTTATTTTTTCTTGATTTTAATACTGGTTTGCGATATTGCGACGCGGCGAGTATTCATACCGATATTTACTGTTTGAGAACATTCTGGAACGAGTCAATATTTGAGATCGATGAGATAGAGGGATGATATGGATATTTGACGCCATTCGAGAACCTTCTTGATTCGGCTTCTTGGCGCGAATTTTGAAATTTCGGAGGATTCGGGGATTCGGGTTCGAGCATTTTGACACAGAATCCCAAATCCGAATCCACGTCCCAACACTATTTGCAATTAATTTTATTCCTCAGTAAGACCTGAAATCGAGGATGGTGCTCATCGTGACTATCTCCATAGGAGCAACCAATAAAACAACAGTATAATTAATCGCATGATTCCAAGAGAAACTGCTGGATAAGTGATATTTGCAACAGAGTTATTGCTAAAAGAAAAAGAACGAAAACATTGATGATTCACACCACTGCATGTTCTTCAGTATATTTTATGAGAAGAGTATCCGTCAGCTTTTGATTCTAAAGATTGATTTTTTCAATTTGATTTGGCTATAATTCTCACATGACCTGGTTTGCTTTATTCAAATTTTGAATCAAAGAAAGTCTTGGTTCTCTGGGGACTGAAAATATTTAAAACGCTGATATCGTATAGATATCGGTACCTTATTTTCGAAGATGTAATACAAGCATATTTTAAAATTGGACGTATTAATGCTAAATGGAACTATGTTGCACGCAAACACCATTCAGATAATTTCTTTCAGCAGATGTACCTCCGGTTAGCACTACTGCCTTTAAAGGCGGCCATCATGGATTTGGAACCTCCTGTTTGACCATTCATTTTCTACTTCACATTTTACCAAAATTACACAAGGAATGATACTTCTCTTTACTCATTGTGTCATTATTTATCTTACTTGAGCCTACCCTCTTAACTTGGCAGCCTTCTTGAGTTTTGGGCAGTCCAATTAACAAGGCAGTATCCATCACCTCATACTTGAAATCTACGACCAAAATTATGGTGAAACTACTTAAGCATGTATCTCGGTTTGCGACGCTGCAGACTTCCCGTCATACTTCATTTTTTGAATGGAGAACTATGCAACAGAAACTCTTAAAAACTTCCATGATTTTTTGTCTCAGTGCGGAGCAAATTCTGAAAAAACTGCAAGGAATAATGCTGATTTGTTCTGCTTTAAAAAAATAAAATAAGAGCTGAAATTATTAAATAATGCAAACAGGATACTTGGTTTGGGAATTTCGCAGTCTATAGTTCATATTGAACTGATGCCTCACTTAACTTATCATATGAATGAGTAGTTCTAGGAAAAAATGTCAGGGGGACTTTTAGTGAATATAGGACAAACATACCCTCCTGCCGTCTAACGTTGGCCGCCATCCTGGATCTGGTGCATCCCGATCGACCAGGGGCTTTTTTTGACACTGTATTTGAAATTTACGACCAAAATGATGTGAGAGAGGCCACTTCACACCACACTAGATGCACATTTTAAATTACCATGATGCTAGATAATCAAAACAAGGCCGTCTCTTTGAATTTTAGGCATTTTAAGGGGTTTTACGCATTCGAACCGTGGCAAACTTTTTGTATGTCTTGTGTTAATTCAGGCCAACCTAATGATGATATTCTTGTAGGAAAAGTCTGTTACGCAATTTGTTCCTACTTAGTCTTATTTCTCCTGGACTGAACTAGAATTTGTACTAAATTTCCAGAAAAATAAGGGTTTTAGAATTTTACACAATAACGGTTGCACTAAGAGAAAAAACGAATAGAGATTTTCAATGTGAATTTAATTTTAAGGACTTTGGTCGGGTGAACTTGTGTCGTATTAGCCATTGTTGCCATGTTAACATCAAAAAACCTGAATTCTCCGCAAATTTTGACATCAGCGTCAATGCGGGCGATCCAAATGTTGACAAAAAAATTCAGGAAAATTCAGGCGTTGTTTTCAGACCATTTTGCCACTTTCGTGTTATGTCCGTTTTCAGAAGGAAAAAAAGTCCAAAAAAGCTCCACCCTATTGTACTTTGGACAAATTAAGATTTCCTCTCACGTCCGATCAAATTTTAAGTAAACTGTGTGGCAAAATGGACCATGGATTTCTGACACATTCTCTTTCATATTTCTTTAAATTACTGAACTCAAAATTAATTATGAGGAGCAGGAGCCCTGCAGTTTGCTATGTTACCATATCAAGCCTCAACACGTATTCACGAAATATACTCTTGATCTCATAACAAAATTCTTTAAATTTACAATTAGTCTAAAGAGCCGTGGAAGATAACTTTTTGTTGTAACTTTGTGCACTCTAAATGTGGTCCTGAAATGAGATATCAATGGGTGATAAAGAGCCTTAATTTAATATTTGACCACCGAAGGTGTTTGGTATGTTTATAATCAAGCTATTTTCAATTACGAAACTAAAAATTGGATTATTCGGCCGTTTTAAGCACAAACGTTTTTTTCCCCTATCAGTTTTACGATTTCTTGTATTGCAGATGGATGAATTTGAAGCTTTGGCTGCCTATTTAAATTCTCAGTTTCAAGAAATTGATCATTTCCAACTTGCTGTCGAATGACTTCCTCGCCTTAATTCTTAGCGGCAAAGTTAAGTAGCAAATTTCAAAGAAAAAGTCAGTCTGTCAATCAAATTTTGTTCTGAGGAAAAAATACTTGTGAAATTAATAGGTATTATCTCCTGGTAAAATTAATCATCCAGTTGAAATTAACTACGGTGTTGTGAATTCACATATATATTCAACTGATTTCAATGCAAAGACAATGCACCGTTATCAAGTCACTCTGTGCGAATTATGATAAGACATACATTGGACATTTTGAAGAATCTTTCCCTTCTTTGGAAACTTTCCGAGGAAAGCTCCCAGAAACTTTCCTGAGATGGAAACGAAGTGTTGCTGACAATTCCTGGAACAAGTTCCTATTTCTGCTTAGATTTTTAGTTGAACATCATAAAACTCGTTAGAAGCTGTTATTCTTTCACTGATGGCAATCAGAGTGAGTTGGTGTTACTTCAGCTTCCTTCTGAGAATAATATATGAGGCACTTTGTATCAAAACCTGCGATCTCCTTTGTGCTGTCTAAAAATTTGGCAATCACTTTCACTTACTCGTATTATAAAGAGAGTAGGTAAGTTTCTATTCGCATACTTTCTCAAGAATTTTCCATATATTCGTGAGGAAATTATGACAGTATTTCATGCATAAAGTCTAATCGATTAATCCTTTTTAAAAATTGCATAAAACATCTGCCAATTTTTTAGATGTTGCAATGGAAATTGCAGGTTTTGATACTAGGTGCCTTGGATCCCACTTACTCTCACTTGACCCTCATGTCTTCCTATCAATCTCCTTCTGTAATTCAACTTCAGGCATCAAGTGTAATTTACTGTGTATCTCTACTGAACGTATGTAAAACTGCATGAGTAGTTCATATTAGCACTAAAATTGGAAAAGAAAGCTATCATTTTACAACTTTCAGAATTAGAGGAAGTTAATAGTTTCTAGGATTCAAGTGAAAGAAAGAGAGATAAGTCATCTATGAGTGGTTCTGTAAATCATCTGGTTGTAGAATGAAGTGACGTACCTAATTATCATAAGTATAAAGGCACGACCTACAAAGAGATTTTTATCATTTTGTCCCCCATTTTGGTACTGCCCTTCTTTCAAATTTCTCTCAATCTGGAAGTTGAAGCTTTTAAATTGCTCACTCACCAAACCCCTCATTTTCCTCCCAGAATCAGTGCTTCACCTGCTGATTAGATGCCACTCCCCTGAAGCTCAGGAAATGCTGCCTTGAATGTGAAAAAGGCCAAAAAAAAAAGAGAAAAAAAAAAAGACTGATTTAGTACCTAATCCATTCACTGTGCTGTCATGCTGTGGAGGTGTCAGCGCAAACCACTGTACAGGAATTCCCAGAAAATGATTGGGTCCTGAAATAGTCCTCACACTTCATCAGTTACACATAAACACCTGACGATGGAAAAACAAGATTAAAAAAAGAATCAGAACACCAATTGCCAATCATTAGCCTGTGAGTATACAAGAATTCAAACTTTTTATTGAAGAGACTTGTATATTATCTGTGTATTGTAACTTAGAATTACATATTGTATTGTAATTTATTTTATCTTATTATTCATGAAATACCTAATTTCAAGTATTCATCTAAAATTTGTCTTATGCAAACTTTCCGCTCGGAGATAATAAGACTTGTTTGTGTACTATTTTTTTATACAACATTATTTTCCATATAAAATCAATAGTATAAATACGTAAGTCAAAAGCTTGTTTTATTTCTTCAATTCCAAGACCTGCTCATGGCTGTGACTATCACATCTGAAATACCATGAAGATGTTGAAACAGAATTGATGGATACGGTGGAAAAAAAGGGTACAGTGTTTGTACCAGCCAAGCCTATATGAACACCTAATTATTTGTACGGGGTCTAGGCAATGACACGGAACAATTGGAAGAGAAGACTCGTATCTTTTCACTGTGCATCAGTGTGTAAGAAAGAGTGCTCATGTTTCATTTGCATATCTCTGCTCTTACTGGACCATATCACCTAATTTTTTGTTTAACGCATACTGATGAACTTGATAACAGCTTTTTAAAATTTCATAAAAATGCTCCGAGAGTCCAAGAACCCCACTGGTGTGCAGGTCTTTGGTTCAGCTCCTTTTTCGAAAATGCATGAACTGGATAGTATTTCAGTGCCTGTCGGGTATGGCAAAGAATGGTGAGTGTGAAAAACTCTCCAACGGCAAGTATTCAAAGTTTGGCATACCCTTGACATTATTAATCCGATTTACATAAATTTTATTTTTAGTGAAATCCTATGTGGCATCCGATGTGTATGTGCGCATGTGTATTAGCTGATGCCAGAAGAAAGTAACAATTTATATAAAAAAGGAGCTATTTTGGAGGTTATTGAGTTCTTCTTATTCTCATGTACTGCTCACATTTTGTCTTTCCAAGTAATTCAATAAAGCTATGAATACATATTCATCTTCACTTATTTTAAGTAAGATTCAACATGGTGACCCCGACGTGATTAGTATTGATATTTAATCTTACTGCCCAAGGATTGTTTGATTTATTGAAAGATTTATTGGTATTGATATGTAATCTTGCCTTTGAATTCTTCAGCAATCAGTATTGATACTTAATCATGCTGATTGACTTATCAGTATCGATATTTAATCCTGCTGAATGACTCCTCAATATTGACATTTAACCTTGCCAGTTGAGCAATAATTCGACTGTTCAGTATTGATATTTGATCTTGCTGTCTGAGAATTTTTCAACCTGCTGATTTTAATGTGTGATCTGATTGGTACCTATTGACATTTAATCTTACCAAGCAGCTGTTGAGTGACTCTGATAAACATAAAAAAAGAAAACTTTTGAGTGCCGTGAATCGATCAACTGAAAAACATCAGAAATTGTGTGAAAAAAACTGGTCAATAACCTTTTAACGTAAAAAAATGAACAAATTGAACTTTTCTGTCTTTCAAAAATGGGGCCAGGAAATGAACCATTATTTGTGTGTTCTACTTAGGTACTTTATAGTCTTCGGTCCTGACCAGAGGCTAAAAAGTAAGTAGAACACGCAAGCCAAAAACGCCTGATAAAGTAATGAACCCAGCCAACTTGAACCATTATTTGGCTGTGCTGATGCCCCTCGATAATTTCTTCGAGCATTACTCAGAGAAGTAGAAGAAGGTGATGAAGGATATGTAGGTATCTGGGAATGAATCTGAAACTGATTAAAAGTAACTTCTCCTAACTTTTTGAGAATTCAGACTTTCATCGTCTAACCTTATCTGTATTCCCCAAGAATGGACGATCTATAAAAAAAATGCATTTCTTTCAACAAAGAAACAACTGACATTTCAGCTTGATCGATTTGAAACGCTTGTAAATAGCAATGATCCAAATGTGCAAATTGTTGAGGCAAAGTACGAAGGTTCCTAAGAAATGCTTAATGATCAATTTTTAAGGATTGAATTTGAGCTTCAATAGCTTGATTCTTCTTCTCAATCTACAGCAGAAATTGAAGAGTTTGAGTCAAAATACTACCACGGTTCTGTTACGAAGGCAAAGGCTCTTATAAAAGAATCAAACGGTAAAGCCCCCTGAGCACTCAAAATCAACCCAATATGTCCTCTTCCTTACGACGACTCGAATTATCGAAATTTTCTGGTGGATATGTTAAATGGCCACCGAAACGTGTTGAATTGTTGGAATTCTTGAGGAAACGACACTGAATCGTCGAGTCCGTTGAAGAAGAAAAAATCCAACGATTATAAGGAAGATACGTTGCTACATATAGTTCAAAAACTAAACCTCAATTTCACCAGTCTGTACACTCCAGAAAGAGAGTCCCTACTACCTTTGCCTATTGGGAGCATTATGCCAAAGTGCCAAAGAATACTTCCTTCAAAAGCAGCAGCTTACTGCAACAAGAACCATGGTCATGTTTATAATTTTACAAATTAACTCTGCTAGACAAAATCATTTTGGTAAAATCACAAAAATGATGAACCCTGTGTTTACAGGAGCACCCTAGCGAATGTTCAAGCAATTTCAAATGTCGATATTGCAGGGAAAATATAGCTCTCTACTTCATGGTTATACACAAGCTCCAACTTTATCTTCAAAAATATGACCGGCGACGGTTCAAGTGTACATTTTATGTAACAAAATACAAATGTAAAGCATATTGCTAGATTCGGCATCGCAGTTGAATTTATTGTCTGCATCCTTTTCAAAATTGTTGAATGTAACGTCTGAAGTTCAAAATGGAGAAATTCAAGGCATTAGAAGCGCCTTCTACGAAAAGAAGACATTTGACATTGTTTCCCTGTATTCATCAGACCGTTGAAAATTTCATGTCATGTTATTAACAGTTCACCGATACTGTTTGGATTCCTCCAAATCCGAATTGTCGGAATGAAACAATCAGTACCCGTTAAGGGAATTAAAATCCCGCTGATCCGACTTTTCACCGGAGAGGCACTGTAGCCATGATTTTGGGAGCTTCAGTTTTTTGGCCTTCAATGATACAAAACCGAATCTTGCTAGACAATTATTCTCCAACGTTACAAGAGACTATACTTAATTGATGGACAGTAGGAGGATGTTGCACAGAAACTCGAGAAGTTTCTAAATTGACACCAATACTGCATTTGAAAAACTGCTGATTTAGAAAAATTTGGGGAAACAGAAGGTGGAGACTTTCAAGATACTCAGACTTCAGAAAGTGAAAAAATATTCTGTGACACTGAAAAGGTAGCTGAAGATGGAAAATTTGTAGTGTAATTACCGTTGAAAGAAAAGCCGAACTTGAGGCAATATAGAATCACTATGATTAAACTTTTCAACTTTTAAAGAGGATTGGATAAGAATGAAAAGTGTGCACACAGATTTCATACGAGATTACATCTCATTGAATCATATGAGTTCGGTTCCGGAAAATGAAGAGGATGTGGAACCAGCTTATTACCTACATCCCTCATTTAGATGTGCTCCGAGAGAGTAGTTTGACTACAAAGCTACATGTCGTGTAGAATGCTTCTTCATCCTAGACAATTTCAAGATCCACAAATTGAAGAATATGCATCTCAAAATGGTATCGAATGGAGTTTCAATTCTCCTCATTTCCTACATCACAGCGGATCGTGGGAAAGCGCAGAATTGCAATTTCATTGCAATGGATTGTGAGTTGATTGCAATTTTTGCTTGTTGCTTATACGTTCATTTGAAGGCGCTGAAAAAATTGCAATTTTATAGGAATGAACTTGCAAGAAATGTAGGTCATGCTTGTTGCCTAACCTTCTTTTTCAAGGCACTATAAAGACTGCAATATCGATCATGTTGAAACAAATTCACGCCATGTGCCTGGCAATTTTCTAGTTGTTTTAAAGTTTTTTCGACTTAAATGTCTCACCTAACCCATATAGCCCAACATATTTTGAAAATATTGTCACCTTTATCAAAATATTTTCATGACAATATTGTAATTAAAATATTTTCAAAATATTTTGAAAATGTTTTTAAAACATTTTAAGGGAATATTTTGAAAATGTTTACAAAAAATATTTTTAAAATAATTCAAAAATATTGCCTGTAAACATGCATGTTTAAAATATTCATTAGGAAAGTTTTGAAAATATTTTAAAAATATTTTTTGAAAATATTTTTAAGTTCTCAAGTTAGTATGGGGTGTAATTTACACCGGTGTAAATTTAGTGTAAGTACCTATTACGTGATATCGAAAAAAAAATATGAAAAAAAAAAAATATGAAAAAAAAATAACACAAAAAAAAATAAATAATAGGCAAAAGAAAGAAGCCTGAGAAAAACGGCGTTAATCAAATCTATTATGAAAGTTGAACCGCGCACTGACGCAATGCATGCTATAACAGCCTTAACAGGCGTGATTTCAACCCAGCTCATCATCAGCTCCCTGTGGCTCAGTGGAAGAGTGTTCGGCTATGAAATTCGCGGGTCGGGTTAAAGCCCACTCAAGGGCGTCCGGTATTTTACGCTGCTAACCGTCGTAGGACATCAGGTAAGTATGGGTTCTAGTTATTCTAATTTCCCCGGAAAATTTAGGGGTTGAAATTTAAAGGTCGTCAGTAATGAAATTTCTTTGAAAAAAAAAATTGCAACTTTTTTACAATGAGGGGGTCAGATGTTGTAAAATAATTGCAATTTTCTTGCAAGAAAGTTGAAATCATCTGGAAATTTTATTTCATTTAAATTGCAATTTTTTCGTTGCAAAATGCTACTTGGGTTACAAGCTTTAAGTCTACTCTCTAAATAGTGAATCAGTCAAGAGTGTTTCAAGCTCAGGAATTGGCCAATCTCGTGGTGAAAATAGAGGCTGTAATGAATTCTTGTCTGCTGGCTCCACTGTCTTCCTCTCCCAATGACTATGAAGCATTGACTCAAGGCCACTGTTTAATTGGAAGAGCACTATGATGTCGTTGCCGAAAAGAACCACGGCTCAGCATTTAAAATCATGCAATATGCTAACTGTTGAATGATTTAGGGGTAGTGAAAATGAAGAAAGAACTACAAGGGTTGCATTTGAACATATTTATATGAGGAGCTAAGTACATGAACACACAGGCAAACAGAGAAAGATATGTAAGTGCATGGTTCGCTAGCAACTTGAGAGACGCCATGATTTGCTGAATGAAAGTTGCGATGTTGCCAAGTGAGGTTGCATAATGTCAACACTAACCGCGTAGAACGACTTCCAGACCGATTTATCTCATTTTTGGCGTCGTTGGACAAAAGAATACCTCCTGAATCTCCAGTGCCGTGCAAAACGGCATAACATCAATCGTGACATCAAAGTTAGCCCACTGGTTGGGGTAAAAAACAGGAATACACCCGCAATGTGGAACCGAAACCGAAACCGCACCGCACCGAATTTGGGACGTGTGTCATCGAAACATACCCTGATGCCGATGGACATGGTAGCAGAGTGGTTAAAGTAAAGACCCCAACCTCAGTGTTGGTTCGAGGTGTCACCAACCTCTGTCCGTTGCCTGTTCTGATCAAGTCTATCAGCCGGGAGGCAGAATGTGAAATCCTATGTGGCACCTTATGTGTAAGTGTGTATCAGCCGACACCTGAAGAAAGTAACAATTTATAAAATAAAAGAACTTTTTCAGAGGTTATTGAGTTCTTATTTTACTCATGTACTGCTCACATTTTGTCTTTCCAAATAATTTAGTAAAGTTATGAACATTCATCTTTATTTATTTTAAGTAAGATTCGACACTGTTCATCAATAAGGAAAGATGACCCTGAAACCGCCAGTCCACAAATTACAATCCTCGACTGATTCCAACGGAGCAAACCGAACGTCGTCAAATTAATGAAATAGATTTTCGGAAGTAGAGATGTATTCATGGAGGAAAAATTTTGTATCATTACAACATGGTCACTGCGTTTAATATAAGGGTCTTTTAAGTTTACAGGCAAAAAAGAAAAGACAAAGCAAGCTGGAAAAGGTAAAACCTGGCAGGATTAAAATAGTTGCGTTGGTTTTAAATACAGGGTGTTCTAGGATTTATCAGCAGTAAACTCATTGTTTAAAAATTACCGTGCATGGGTCTCCACAGGAACCTTTGAATTTCTTAAACATTAACCCTCTATGGCATGAATTAATTCTGAATCCTGGATTCTTCGGGACAATAATCTCGAGTTGTGGCTATCATAAAGATATTGAGTTCCAAATTCTTTTCCTGAAATTCCAAATTTTAAGTAATCATTTTTTCAAAAAAGAAAACACTGATGAAAATTTGCAAAACTATGCCACAGAGGAAAGATTCAAATTGTAAGAAACCAAAAAATAAGTTGTTACAAATAAGTAACGCTATGCCATAGAGGGTTAAGAACAGAAAGTTAAAAGAAAGCTACAGTTGTTTGAATGATCAGCACAACATCTATTCCTTGTTGTTCCTCCCTGAAGGTTCCTCTACCCTTTTTCTAACTTTTCTGAGTTTGCTTTTATTCTTTTCGTGATTTGACCGAGGAGTAGATGTACACTGCTTAAAAGTCTCTCCTAGCTCTTGCAGATAGTCTAAAAAAGATGGTATGCTTTATACAGCCTTTTTCTTTTGTACTAGAGACAAATTTAGTTTTATACATGGGCTTTGTCTAACTCTATATTAATTGTGGGACTCAGCTGAATTTTCCTGCACAAATTATGTTTTGTTTCTATTTGTGCACAATAAAGCGTATGCAGATGCAGTGGTCACAGAATAAAGCACAAAAAACTGAATTTGACAAACTAACTTAGGGGGATATTAAATCCTAGTTGCTAGTGGGTACAGAAACACTGAAATGACCAAGTTAAGAAAATGTTTGGTATTTATGTAAGGTTATTCTTCAACCTTATTGGAATGAAGTTTTTATTCCTGGTAGGATAAAGTTGTTGATGAAATATTTTCTGCTTTGGGGCTCTTCATAAATGACCTCAAGCACTTTTTCCAATGTTTGCCCATCCTTGTAAGCTACCCGTTTGGGACCTTTAGACCCAACCTTAAAAATGACATCTGATTCAGCTATACCTCTCTCCCCTCAATTTTCGACAAAAATGAGGCACACTGAGAAAAAAAAGAAAGAACAAATTTTCAGCATTAAAAACATGAGCAATCTTCTGTATGGCGTGTTAAATATAGAAACACCTTTAAAAAGAGACAATCAATGAGGTTATGGTTAATAGTTGCAGGAAAACCTGCGTTGAACAAGTGTAGTTTTAACTGATGTAAGATGAAAAGGAAATAGTTCACTTTTTAACTTATCCTCTCTCTTCAATGTTTTAAATTTTCAAATCTTCATGCTACTGGCAGCCTTAACTGTTACCGAAAAGTTGACATCAGGTTTGACTTGACCCTCCCTTGCACTTTTGTCAAGCACTCATTGACTCTAGGACCATTATGTCATTCATGAAAAGCCTCTCTTATCTTCCATCATAAGTTTTCTTTGTTTCTTACATGGCAGAAAAAAAGGATCATCAGTGAAGTATACTAGCAAAAAATAACAATTACACAGGTCGGCAAAAAAAGAAGAAACAAATTATTATGAGACCACTGGGGATTTGATAGTTAATACCTGTGTAATTTTCATGCTTTCCTAAAAAAATTGGCTTTTCAAAGGAAAATTCAATTTTTAAGAAAACAGGGCATGATAGAAAGCAATGAAGGTCAAAGCAACGAAGGTCATTTCTGGTCTCAGCAGTCAAAATGACACAGGTACTTATGCACCACATGCCTGAACAATTTTTTATACTAGGTATGTCTGATGACGAGGGTTTTACAGTCAAATGTCATTATCCGCCCATCCCCTATGTAAAACTGATCTGCTTGTTTTGCATCTGAAAGGATGGTGAATAATATTTAATGAGGTGTTTGATGGAACTGATTTTTCAGAAAATTGAATTTCCCACATAATGTTCAGGTGCAGAAAATGCATGTTTTTCGGAAATTCAAATTAATATTCCGTAAAATTTGCGGGCGATGGAACTGACTAAGGAGTGAGGAAACCACCCGATACAAACCGAAGAGACTTTCAGCCAGAAGTAGGTAGGAGTAATCCCATTACTATTCTGGATAATTTTAATTCCCTGTCCTTTCAGATGCAAAACAAGAGGATCAGTTTTACAAGAGGTAAATGGGGGGGATTGGACCATTCGATCGTGGAACCCTTGTTATCAGAAACAAAAAAGAAAATTGAATGCTCTGCATACAAAGCCATGGACTCTTGACTGCAAAATCCTAAGATGACCTTTAGCTTATCCCACAACATGCACCAAATTCCTGAAAAGTTGAATTTTTCGTGAAAAAACCAGTTTCGATTTTCCGAAGAATTTGAAAGGCACAGAAAAAAAGTATACTATTTTCGGACTCTGCCCTAAAAAATTACACAGGTATCAGCTGTCAAACCAGCAATATTACTTCAGTTGCAAGCCTGAGTCACAAGAAGGCTACAGAATTAAATTGAGAGATGAAAGGGGGAAATAAGAATGCAGCGAGCAATGTCGAACATTTTATGAATGAAGATACATTTTAACACAAGTTCACCTTGAAAATAATTTTATGAATGAAGATACATTTTAACACAAGTTCACCTTGAAAATAATCAGATTAGGATTTTTTGAGCATGGTACAAAAATAATGAAGACAGGTTGAAGATTAAATCACATTCTTTTCAATTTTCACTCACAAGCCAATGGTGGTTGTCACTGACGAGTTACAAGACCGACATTAGTTACTCCATTTTTCCACAGTACTTGTGAAGAGTTGGTTTTATCACACAATGGGGACAAGATCTTTACACGTTTATTAACACAGAATATAAAAATTACAAAAACAAGAGAAAACAATTATTAAGTCTACATTTTTCTTCTCTCTCCTTCAAAGAAACCAGTGTTTCAATGTAAGATATGTGCAAAACAATTGATAGCAAACCCTAGGATGTGAAATTAGCAAAGTCTGTTTTTAATTTTATAGTTGGAGCTTTGACAACCTTAACAGAGGGAGTCTGCTCTATTCTAACTTTGGTTTGCTGTTGCTGATTTTGGCTTGATTTGACAGCTGATTCCAGTCTCAGTCTAAGATCCTTCAACTGAGACATAATAATTTTGAATTCCTGAAAGACAAAAAGTGATCAATTTTCATTGAATATTGTGACAAATCTTCAAGTGAATAAAACAAATGCTCTAATGAGTAAAAATAAAGGATGCTGATTTAAGTTTTTCTTCAAAACTTATTAAGTTGTTGGATTGCCGCCTGCCCACCCTGACCAGGGCAAAATTTCACTACCCTCCTGCGGCTACAAAGGAAGAGGCAAAGTTGCTTTCTTTTTTTTTTATTTATTTCCCAAGTCCATGTGGTCTCCCAGCATGTGCTAAAAAAGTTGAAAAAAGGTCCTCTGGAAGAATATTGGTGAAGTTTCTACAATTCCATGATTTACTGTTGTTTTTATTTTATTCATTCCACAACACCCACTTCCTGAAAATTCTCCATGACTCACGGACTGTTTTTTTTCCGCACAACCTACGACCACTCGTTACATACAGATTTTGAAGGCGAATTTAATTAATAAAACTGATTGTGGTTCGAATAAAAAATTGGCATCTCTAGGTCTATATAAATCAAAAAGAATTTTTCAGTTCAAAAACTGGAGAAATGATCAAATAGTCGAGTCAATCTGGCCCAAAAAAGGGGTCTATTTTGCGAAAATCTGAGGAGAAAAAAGTTAGACGGATTCCTCTGTAGTTTTGGTCGCTAAATCTGAGTCTGATGTTTGCCAACAAAAATTTTGTCCGGAAATGGCCGCCATCTTAAAAAAATGGCGGAAAATCACGTTTTCCCCCCAGAATCTCACTTATTTTGGGGTTTTCGACAAAATGAGTTATCTTTATTTTATGAGTACGTAAAATTTCCCATCGAACGGCTTTTCGATTTTTGAAATCGGACAATTAGGATAAAAGTCATGGGCGATCGCGTTAAGGGTGGTTTTAGGAGTTGATGAATTTTTCGTGAAATTTGCTGCGTAATAGAAACGCTGTAACGCCGTGGGACAACAAGTGAAACAAAAATTCTGAAAATGGTTTCCATATGTCCCCCTTGGTACCAGTGACCCTCCGCCATGAAAAAATCCCCCGCCCCTCCATCCATCTCCCGCCACCGCCCGGCCCCTTATTCTATGTGCATTTTTTTCAATTTATTCACATTAATTACAGATGTCGAAAATGTATGCAAAACCCTCATGGACCACTTGGTTTTCCAACTTCTATCACCCCCCTTAACCCCGTTATGACCCCTTCACCCCCTCCCCTCCACCCCAAGCCCTTATTAGCCATGTAAGAGCCACCGAACCGATTCTGAAGGAAAGATTTTTTTTTTTAGGCGGGGAAAATCTTTTAAAGACTTCATCTTAGGCAGCTAGGAACCCGAGATGGCTGTGTGGGATTTCCACCCACTAAAAACCCCTCTGCTTTGGGTGAACCAATTTTAAAAAAAAAGCACTGAATGAATGTTGTCTTGAATAGCTTTTTCTCTGTAACCTTTTCCATAAATCCACTCCAACCCGGTAAATTCGGTATTTCAACAATATGTCCATAAATCCACAAAAAACCCAGCGTTAAGATGAGATGTTGGAATTTGAAACTGCTGCTATCCTGCATGGACCCTTAAAAATCAATTTCGATGCTTTCTTTCGGTTCATATTCGATATAGCGGATTTTAATAGTCAAACGCTTGATGGAATGAACACCTTCCATGCTATGGGCGGCGTAATGTGTATCACACGGCACTCCACAATCAATCAGTTCACCCTGATTAAGTAATACCTGGTAATTTCTCAAAATCCGCCGGTAAAATAGCTCGGGCCTCTGGAGTAACACCCGTTGAAATTTTTGAAAAGAAACGCCACGATAAAATGAAAGACATCAAAATTCTTCATTTGCAGACTGTTAATAAATTGCCTGATCATGATGGAACGCTGGGTTTGATGTGGATTTATGGACATTTTGTTGAAATACCGAATTTACCGGGTTGGAGTGGATTTATGGAAAAGGTTACAGAGAAAAAGCTATTCAAGACAACATTCATTCAGCGCTTTTTTTTAAAATTGGCTCACCCAAAGCAGAGGGGTTTTTAGTGGGTGGAAATCCCACACAGCCATCTCGGGTTCCTAGCTGCCTAAGATGAAGTCTTTAAAAGATTTTCCCCGCCTAAAAAAAAAAAAATCTTCCCTTCAGAATCGGTTTGGTGGCTCTTACATGGCTAATAAGGGCTTGGGGTGGAGGGGAGGGGGTGAAGGGGTCATAACGGGGTTAAGGGGGGTGATAGAAGTTGGAAAACCAAGTGGTCCATGAGGGTTTTGCATACATTTTCGACATCTGTAATTAATGTGAATAAATTGAAAAAAGTGCGCATAGAATAAGGGGCCGGGCGGTGGCGGGAGATGGGTGGAGGGGCGGGGGTGGGGGATTTTTTCATGGCGGAGGGTCACTGGTACCAAGGGGGACATATGGAAACCATTTTCAGAATTTTTGTTTCACTTGTTGTCCCACGGCGTTACAGCGTTTCTATTACGCAGCAAATTTCACGAAAAATTCATCAACCCCTAAAACCACCCTTAACGCGATCGCCCATGACTTTTATCCTAATGGACCACTAGACAAGGTACGAATTCAAGCAATCTGATACATGTTTCTGGACCAGAATTTCACGTAGAACACGATTCGCGCAACGAAAATTACTGAAACCAGCTCCTGATGAAGATATTAACCTTTTTATTTCACATTGGTTACGCGGATTTTGAACTGCCCGCTCACGAGAAACTCAAAGCTCTACGTGAGTCAAATTGCGCACCACAACAGTTTCAGCTAGCCTCTCAATCGATCACTGTTCATAACTCACCATGTGTTGTTCAAATTATAAGCAATTTGCTATAGCTGAGCCCGCAAGCGTCAAAATTGAGGTTGCCAAATTTTTATATCGCAAAGACTGTAATGATAATGTTCAGCCTGCGATGTGAATCACGTAGAGCATTGAGTTGTAATGAGCGGGTGGTTTGAATTCACGCATCAGGAATCATTTAATATCATTGTAAGGAGTTAATTTCGGTAATTTTTGCTGTGCGCATCGTGTTTTACGTGAAATTTTGGTTAAAAAATATGTATCAGAATGCTTAAATTCGTACCTTGTCTAGTGGTCCATTGTCCGATTTCAAAAATCTAAAAGCCGTTCGATGGGAAATTTTACGAACTTATAAAATAAAGATAACTCATTTTGTCGAAAACTCCAAAATAAGTGAGATTCTGGGGGGAAAAGTGATTTTCCGCCATTTTTTCAAGATGGCGGCCATTTCCAGACAAAATTTTTGTTGGCAAACATCAGATTTAGATTCAGCGACCAAAACTACATAGGAATCCGTCTAACTTTTTTCTCCTCAGATTTTCGCAAAATAAAATGGCAGATTGACTGGACTAAAAATACAGCCCCAAACTAAAAACTTGGGATTTTCTCTTAGTCCAGGCATTAGAGACTTAAAAACAGCTCTTGTAGTAAAAAATAATAAAAAGAAGGGAAAAAAGGGACAAAAAAGGGGGAATAATGAAACAAAATAAAATCAAACAAAGAGGCTCCACCAAACACAATGAGCAAGTGCCATTAGTGGGTTTTTTTTTTTTTTTTTTTTTTNTTTTTTTTTTTTTTTTTTTTTTTTTTTTTTTTTTTTTTTTTTTTTTTTTTTTTTTTTTTATTACATATATGTCTGTTGTTACCTACTGTACACTAAAACGAGAATAAATTCACTGCCTCAAGAAAGATGGAATAGACAGCAAAATTGGGACGAACTCATTTTGCAAAAGATTCAGATTCAACCTTCACTCATGAAAATCATTTTGATAGTATCCTTGATGCATGTGACCATTGTAACCACCAAGTTTCAGATCAATAAGATCCCCCCCCNAACCCCCCCCCCCCCCTATTAACCCCTTGTTAACCAACCCTTCATATTCAGGTAGACACACTTGCTGAAGTTGCTGAATCTGATGAGCGGATATTTTGAAAAAACTCAAGGTCGTGACTTCAACCAGTGCCTTCATTTTAGGAGAGTACTTAGTAAATGTAAATGCCGAATTTCAGGACAGTCAAGGCATACTCCCCTCCCCTAATCTTCCCAACTGACAGATAGGTCATGAAAATACCATGGTTGAAGCAGGAAAAGTTCTGCCTAGCTGGGATTAAACTCAAATTGCTACATTCCAAAGTCCTTACAATCACATTAGGTCTTCTTGTTTCAGAATTTACAGGGAACAGACAGAAAAAATTTTAATTTGAACAACCCTGTGAGTACATCATTACAGTTAACTACCACTAATTAGTAATGACAGCTTTTTTGTAACTTAGTGAAATGCTGCTCCACCAAGGGAAAGATTATGGTCAAATATATTTCTTACCTGAGGATACTGAGGGCCAATTTTCATGAGCCATTGTAAACTGATTTCGTGTAAAAGTTTGGCATGGTGATTAATTGCTTTAAAGTTGGCATCAGGAAGAAGAAATTCAATTAATACTGGCACTAGCACACTTAACAGTTGGATTCCTATGGTTAAAGGCAAAAAATAAGATGCAATTATGAATCATGGTAATCACATATGCTAAAATTGACGGAAAAACAAAATTCTCAAAGAGCTTAATTCGACATCAGGGGAAAAATTATTAAGTTTGTTACAAGAATGCAGGGTTCACGATGAAAATATCCTTAAACATAGATTTAATGTGATTTTATTTGTGTTTTCAGCCAGGAAAAATAAAAACTGAATATTTACATCCTTCGCTTTTTCTCTAGCTTCATCTGTTGGCAGTTCATTGCTTGATAGCTCTGCAACTGGACTGAATAGGATTAACACCGAGAAAACTGAATTGGCGGACGCGAAAATATATAATGTCCATTATTTTATTTTTACTTTTTAAGCTAGACCTAATCTGCAGGTGAAGGAGCGGCCATGTACATACAAATTGGATCTGTTAAGGGCCTTCTTCGCTCTCTTTTGAGGAATCTGAACCCAAGAATCATATAAAAACGTCTCATGTCCATTGGCAGAATTGCCAGCAGAATTTGGCGTCGGCAGAATTTAGCCAAATGCAATAACTGAATATTGAATTCCCAGAGTGCAGGTATGAGTAAGTTCTTTGACATTAAATTCACCCTTCTTTACCCAATATAGGGCATTATGGGCTGTCCTGAACAAATCTTGTGAGATCTATCTTAAACCACATAAGTGTTCATGATCCAATAGTCTCTCTAGCCGATTTTTGAAATTGACAGACAAGGCGATGTGTGGAACACTCAATCAAAGAAAGGGACAACGACTCCATTCCACATTCAACAATGAGTTATTTTATAATACTAGGTTAGGAATATATCAGCTGATGAGTTAACATACTCCCCCCCCCCCCCNCTCCCCCCCCCCCCTTGAGGTTTCCTTAATTACACATTTAGGACATTAGCATTATGTTAATTATGACATTATTTCATTATTCATTTAATCATTTTCATTTCATTATAATCAACCAATTTTAAACTTAAATTTATTAGTTCTTGTTTTTCTTCGTAATAAAGTGTATAAAATAGTGCATCCTAATTTTTCACTTGGTTGTGATCTTGAGGCCACGACTCTAGGGTAAACGCCGTAGTGATTCTTCTCGTCTGCAGGAACTTGCAGGCACTTTCGAGAGGAGTCTGGAAGCGCTGCCGTTACGCAAGGAGGTTCTTTAGGGTCAAATTGAAATTCCATTAAAAAGTAGACAAATTCCAGTTGTCGTTCGTTGACCAAAATGCACGGAATAGTCACCTTCCTTGCCTTGTTCGGTGAATCCGTCACGTTCGATGTCCTCATCTTGATTGAGAATTGATGCCTTTAAAAATGAGCAAAAATAACTCACTGGGTGCTCCTATTAAATTATTTTCATACCGTTTGCATGACACGTCTCACTTATGAGTAAAATTCATCTTTTACGTTTAATTTAGACTTGTCGCCTAGAAATACACGGAATAGTCACCTTCCTTGCCTTGTTCGGTGAATTTTTTTTCAAAAATGCACCCTTCCGCCTTTCGAATTTAGCCACCATCTTGAATTTAGGGCACTCCCTATAAGCAGGGGGACTGTTTTGACTTGAGACATGAAATTTACAACCAAAATTTCATAAGAATTGATACACCTCACTCTCATTTTTTACGTAAAAATCGAAAAAATTCACCCTCCTGTCTTTCAAATTTAGCCGCCATCTTGAATTTAGAGCACCCCCTTTGACCGGGGAGCTTAAATTACATTGAACCAAAATTACATTGGAAACGACACCTCACTTGCCCAATCACGTAAAAATTGAAAAATGACCCTCTTGCATTTCAAATTTGGCCGCCATCTTGGATTTGGGTCACCCCCTTTGACCTAGGGGCTTTTTGGACTTCAGAAATGAAATCTGCGACCAAAATTACATAGGAAATGATACCTCACATGACACTGTAGGAACATTTTAAAATACCGAAATCCCATAGGCCCTTATTATGGCCGCCATTTTGAATTTTCGTCATTTTGGGGGGTGTTCCGGGGTCGGACCGTGGTAAACTTTTTGTATGTTGTTCAGGAGGACCTACTGATGACGTTTACACAGGAATAAATTGTTATGCAATTTGTTCCGGGTTAAGCCCTTTTTTTCCATATTTCTCCCTGGCTAGTAGGTAATTTTGATTGTTAAGCTCCGTCAATTCTTTGTCGATTTGACTAGATGCATGATCAGTTGTTCTTCTGAGATTTCATGCTTCATTATTCTTCTTCAGGCCTTCGTTGTTCTACTTTAAGTTCAGCAAGAAGTTAAGGAAAGCTTACTTCTGTTCCTTATAACCAACAAACTAACGATGTCTTCTACCGTCGATATGCATCTTGTTACACTGCTAATATCATCTCTTTCTCTGTCAAGAGCTGCTTCCGCCATTTGGGCTCTTTTGAACAAGTTGATACTTTGAGGAATGACGTCATCAAGTGCCTTTGCCAAGATGCTGATTTCCTCCACAGGGATTTTCACATCAGACTTCAAATGTATATGTTCTGAAGTACAGGAAAAACCGCTCAAAAACAGCAGCATTTAATTGAGTTATACTCTAATCATTAGATTTGGGTACAAAAGCATAACATTTTTATTCTTCTTGAATAATCATTCCCGCCAGACAAAATTGTTGGGTGCACGCTTCCTTGTGTTTGTGAAAGTTAAAGTACTCTCTGCTCTGATCGTTATTCTAGACGATTTAGTGATACAGGAATATGCCTTCTTCTTCTGTTTTTGTTTATTATTTTCTTATTTTGATTTGCTTTTTATCATCGTCTCTCATCTCATCAGGAGTCCAGCGTGGGTCACGAAGAGTGGCCGCGGATATAATTCCGCAAAGTAGGCTATGGGCATTCAGTCAGAGTTTCATACAGAATTCCATGTATAGGATGTAGGATATACATAGGACAACGCAAGATGGACAGGAGAAAATAGGACGGACAGGACAGCAGAGGATATGGATGGGCTCGGTTTAGTTCCATTATTTTTTGCTCTTAGTTGTTAGTAGGTTACCTGAAACCAGATAACAACAGAAACAGAAAAACGAACTATTTATCTTACACATTGATATTAACTTAAGATCATGATGATATGTCTGATAATATCGGATAATTTAGTCTGTCTTGTTTCTACACTAATTGTAAGTGTAAAATGTTATTCACCTTCTTTCTCATCCAGAGATCTCATCTCCACAGCTAGAAATTCAGACTATGGATAAGAATCGCTTTCAATGCTACTGATCCCCCATACGGGATTTTTAATACTTTTTGAGCTTTACTCAATTCGAACATTCATCATTCTTGAACATTCAATCAATAAGGATCTGCATTATTATTATGTAAACCACTGAACTCAGACTCATTTGTCAACACTTCTCTTTTATCTCCTCATTTCAGCTGTATTTATTAGTCTTCCGCTGTCTTTCGGCTTCTTATTTAATCTTTAAATATTTCTTTAAATGTCTTTACTTTATTAAAGTATACTTTACTTTTAGGATTATTAAAAGTATAAATACATCATACATTTTGGATGATTTCCTTCCAAACAGCAAATTCAAATTTTTGGAAATTCGATTTCTAAGTAGAGCACTATTAAATCGGTTTTTATGTATGGTATAATAATTTACTGAGGAATTATGAATATCGTATTATTTTCACCATGTGTTAATGTATCAAGTTCATAATAATTAATCTGCAACGATGATAAGTTACATAAAAATTCATGGATGTTAAACTCGCTTTATTTCTCTATTATGCTCATTCTCTCTTCTTTACAAAAGCCAATTGAAAATGACACAAAAATTTGTTAGGGTTAGGGACATTGTCATCTACTGCAGTCATTGCATGCATTGTTGAGTCAGGAGTTTATCTCCTCAGGATTCCACACATTTTTCTGTAGGTGCTTTAATGCAACTGTTACTTTTAAATATTCAAAAATCAAGTTGGTACAACTGATATGCTGGGCTTTTATTTCACTTATCTCAGGTGAGTTTGTTTCGGAAGTTGTTTCCATAAAGTTCACAAGTCTGGACAGCATACATACCATGTTTTCCTTTCGCATTTTCGACTCCTCTGTAGCTTCTTCTTCTTTTTTTTTTAAGGTTTTTGCTTCATACACTTCATTTGCGCTAGGTTTTGCTTCACTAGTATATCCTCCTTTCTAAATATTTGCTGTAGTATTATGTATTTTATTCCATTGTTATATCTCTGCTCACTTTTCTTTATTCTCGATCTTATAACTCAAATCAGTCTCGGATCATAACTTTATTTTCTGCTCACTTGGGTCATACTTTTTCTTCTCTTTCGGATGTATACTTTTTTTTCTCACTCAAATTTATACTTTTTCTCCTCTAAACTCCGACTAGACAGGGCTTTAGCCTAAATGTACTGAGACTTAGATAGGTCTTTTTATTTATTATCGGCTGAAAGCCGTCATTTTATTTATTATCGGCTAAAAGCCGATGCACTTTCCCGCTTAGATAGGTTTTTTATGCCTAGATGCACTTTCGCGCTTAGACAGGTCTTTTATGCCTAAATGCACTTTCGCTTAGATAGGTCTTTTTATTTATTATCGGCTGAAAGCCGTCATTTTATTTATTATCGGCTGAAAGCCGATGCACTTTCCCGCTTAGATAGGTTTTTTATGCCTAGATGCACTTTCGCGCTTAGACAGGTCTTTTATGCCTAAATGCACTTTCGCTTAGATAGGTCTTTTCATTTATTATCGGCTGAAAGCCGTCATTTTATTTATTATCGGCTGAAAGCCGTCATTTTATTTATTATCGGCTGAAAGTCGTCATTTTATTTATTATCGGCTGAAAGTCGTCATTTTATTTATTATCAGCTGAAAGCCGTCATTTCATTTATTATCGGCTTATTTATTATTTAGCCGTCATTTCATTTATTATCCGCTTATTTATTATTTAGCCGTCATTTCATTTATTATCGGCTTCTTTATTATTTAGCCATCACAAGGCCTTGTTTTTACTCCACGGCACAAGAGCTCATTGGAGGTTAAGTCCACGGCACGAGGGCACGGACTTAAAAGCGCTGATAACGGCACGAGGGCACGTTGGGTGGTGTGGTTTACGGTGGCTAGCGCCTACTGCGTTACCTGCACATGATTTTAACCGGTATATTGTTCATTTTTTCAGCTAGTGTGGTGAGGAGCGTCTACTGCACACAATGCTGAACTATGAATGTACGGTGACGAGCGTCTGCTTCATACCTTTATCAGTGCACAACAAACTTTTTATTTAGGTATCACGTCGGTAGGTCACCATTATGTAGAACACTCAGTCAAAGAAAGGGACAACGACTCCATTCCACATTCAACTATGAGTTATTTTATAATACTAGGTTAGGAATATAACAGCTGTTGATTTAACACAATGGACAAAGAAGACAATGGGACAATGGAGGGATCTTATTAGTTCATACGAGTGGTTATAATAGACCAAAGGAGGAAATGATAAACTAATTACGGAGTCTCTTCTGAGTTGCAGTTAATCAGTCTGCTACATACCTTCTTTGTCCACTGCAACTACCTGCTTCCACTAAAGATCGCTCAACATTCTTTTTGTTTCCTTAGTCTATTAAATTCAATGATCAGCATGCAGTCACGTAACTTCCTATTATAACTCGAAGGTGTTGAATTATTTATTTTCCGAGTAACTGGAACTCTAAAATTATATCATACTCCTCTTTCAAATGTTTGGAAAATGATTTTTCGAAGCGAATTTGAGCCACTCATGCATAAATGTCCATTGTCCAACAGCCTTTTTTAAACTTACACTGTTTTCAATGATGATCACATGGGGGTGAGAGTTGTGTGCCTCTTTTACAACCCTCCACTAAAATTAAACGAACTTACATTTTCTTTAAAAGGCTGACTCCAGGACCTCTGCTGTTTTCTGCGATTTTCCAACAGTGTGTCATTTGAACATTGAATTTTGTCTCATATACTGACTCAATTGTGATGGAATCACGAAAAAGGGAACTTATTTGAGAAGCTCCCGATTTGAATTACAGCAAAAAATATCTACTTCCTGTTTTTAAAGGTAGTCTATTCCTGATAACTTAATTTCTGACCATAATTTGCCTCATAAAAAAATGTAATAAGTGTTAGTAATAGGCCCTCTCTGAAGCCAGTAACAATTCCATAACTTTTTCTCGGGCCAGCTGAGTGATATCAGCCATTTTCTATTAAAGATAAAGTCGAAGATATGCATTATAATAACTTCTTTTAAGTATTTGTGAATTCACATAAAAACCTGAGAATACTTGCTCAAAATTTTATTCTTTGATCAATGCCAAAACATATCAGTCCTTTAAATTTGACTGAACTTCCCCCAATTGCATTATTTCTCGTTTCCGAACATTTAAGGGCCTTTGATGAGTCAATTTATGGAATTTATGGGTGCTCTTCAGAGTGAATGATGCACAAGACCACATAATGCAGAAATATAGTAACCTGCTCTTTTTAATTCTGTCTCCTTTTCCCTACCTCCATCACTACTTACCATTAAAGAAGGAACAAAGAAAGAAAGAAAACAAGAGCAACCATGCAGAAATACTGATTGAAGTGACGGAAAACTATTGAGGACTCACTGTTTTTAGACTCAACTAATTGGATGAGCGTTTCCATCGTATAGATCATTCGAATGACGAAAGTTAGTTCTGCTTCAGTTGAGACTTGCTTGGCTGACGGAGCATGCAAATGTTGAATTATCTTTGGTGCTAATGCGTGAATATATTCCACCGACACTCTTCGCTCGGCATGACCAAAAATAGAACGAAGTGTTTCTACACACTTTATTCGAACCTGTTGATTAAAAATCACGAATCTTCAGCATTCACAATAGAAAATAAAAAAGAAAAAAAAAGCCAGGCAAAAGTCAATGCCACACGGATCGCAGACCCTGGCGGATATGATTAATTATCTAAAAATTTTTCTTTTAGGTGTCACCGCCCACAAGAGATTTTCAACAGAGCGGTTATTGTCAAATTGGGTAAAAAAAATCAGATTTAAATTGATTAAATTTTTTGAATATTAGTACAATGACTGCCGTGAAAACCCAGAGGGACTGGCAGTAAATGTACGTATCTCTGCTAAAAGGAACCAAAGACTGGTGGGAAAGAGGGAGTGTGCTCGTTAGTCGAGGGCCGTAAGAATAAATGGGAATTATAAAACGCCAGTGACCTCAGCGGCGACGACGATCCGGGATCTGAGTCTGCTCAGTTCACAAATTTCTTGTCACATGCCCACGGCTCATGAGCATCGCAAACTTTGGCACTTATTGTCAGTTTTGTTTCATTTAATGTAAAGGGAGATGGCGCGTGAGTCCAACACGCATACACATCGCTCTGTATTGTACTACCTAAGGTGATAGTTCTTGGTCCTTACTTAATTTTAAGGTGTACATAGTTATCAATTAAAATGTGCTCTTTCCGAATATAATAACGGTTTGTAGGTTTTTCACGATTCTTAGCCGCTTTCTTAAAGTTTCTTCTTGTGTTTTTTTCAATAAGTAAACCTGCAGAATAAAAATTTTATCTGAGTCGTTATCAACGTTCTGCACAGTGGTTCTAACTCTCCGTCGCACAGTGGGACGAAAAGGTGTCAAAACGGGACATTCGCATATTAGACGATAATTTTTCGCCGATCTTCTCAAAACTTGACATTTTCGGTCTTTTTGGGAAAGGAATTTAATATTTTGCTCAGTATTTGGTTCATAGTGACAATCCCGCCAAAAAATGGTGTTGCCAAGTCTCTGTTTTAATCTATTTGATAAACAAATTAGCATGATTATGGTAGAGATTTAACGCGCGTGTTGTTTGCTATTTTTCATTGAAAAAGAAAATGAATTCACTTATCCTGAAATTGAGAAATGCTTTTATTAAGAATGAACACTTCCCCCCCCCCACCATCTTCTTACCTAGGTTTCGCAAAAACCGCAGCGATATTTGACTATAGGGGAATGAGTTCATCAATGGGCAGACATTAAAGTGAATCCGAAAATCATAAACGAATAAGTTGCTCCCAAATATTATCATTCTTTGACACAGATGCTGTTTTTTTCCGTTTTTTTCAAAGGACTTTTCTTCTTCCGTTTTGGAGCGCCATTTTCTCAAATCCTGAGTATACAAAATATGCAACAGACACTCAAAAGTTTTAATCTTGAGATGCCAAGGCAAATTCCATACTTCGGAAACTCCGAGTTTCTTAGGGGTCTTCTCTGCACTTCTGAGATATCGTTCATAAGAATGAGGATTTAATGCCACTTACTATATTGCAAATTTTCCTATCGAACATGGTGGAATACAAATCATGGGACACTTTGTCAAACTGTCCACTTTGGTTGAAATTAAATTTTTAATTTCAGCCTCGATTGTAAGCACCGTTTCCATCACGACATCATCCGATTATTTGCAAAATCAAAATAAAAAATCGGTCTACAAAAAAAGACGATTGCAATCAGTATCCTAGATATCAGATGAGCATTGCAGTAAGCTGATAAGCAACGCAGCGCAGCGGTGGCGCGGCGGCCAGCAATGCAGCCCGTTGCACTCAACCTCAACCGTCAATTGGCCTGTGAAAGCGCTCGATTTTAAGCGAACCGCGCTCATGTTTTCCCTTGTAACTTCCAAAGTCGGAAGAAGTCGGATGAAAACAAATATGATTCTGAAAGCTAAGGATACGTAGAATATCGATTTGCAAACCGTTTCTTGGACAAGTCTGGACATTTTTTTAAAACTCTAATTGAAGTTTGAATTTTAGTTGTTTGACTTGTCGATTTTGAATTCACTCTCTGACCCCCAGGAAGTAAAAAGTAATCATCACCAAAGACGTAAACGAATAGTCTATGTTTGTATTCAATTGTTATAACAAAAAATTGCATTTAAAATCGTCTCGGACGCTAGAGGAGCAACATTTGTATACGTGCGCTTTTACCTCTTTTTTTCATCTTTCCGAAACACCCGTTTCTCTACGCCTGTCATTTGAATATTCCTCAATTAAATTGTTTAAATCTTCGTTATTCTGGAAGATTAGACCCTCCAGGTAACTTCTACACCTTTGGTTCTTGCTTTTAATGATTTTCATTTTTACCGTGAATGTCCCATTTCTGTAATGGGCTCGTCCCAATGTGCGTCGCTGCCAAATCTCGGTCTTTACCTCATAAACGTTCCGGCCTCAATCCAAAACATACCGAGTTGCACTCAATATCATAGTCGCCCATATGACGCCTGTGTCTCGACTGCAGCCGCCGAGAACCTGCCGGCTAGTCCGCTTGACGGCTGATGTACGAGCAACTTCTCAGAGCAGACGCAAAGCCGAGATAAGATCTCCTGAGACCAAATCATCAATGATAAAGAACTTCGTAAATACTAGGGCAAAGCGGGCGAGTATGCTGAACTCTCCTGACGACGATGCCTCTGCCTTGTTCCCTAGGCAAATACAAGGTAGTTCAAAAGGTAAACCGAACACTACTTCCACTTCCGCATCCGTGAATGCATCCACCCGGAAAAATCCTCTTAAAGGTTTGTGCCAACGTGACTACCGCGTGCATGGTGGACTGAAAATGAGCTCATCTCTGACGCATCCATCTCCCTCGTCATCATTATCTCCAACCGGTGGCGCCATCATGTCACTGTCAAAACATGTCACTGTCGAATAATGTTACAAACCCAAAAAGAAACACAAGTTTTATCTCCGTGGGTACAGAAACTGATTCTGAATTGGACCAATTGCATCAAAGGAATGCATTAATTAGCAAAATTTCTGTTCTTAAAGAGGCCAGCAGTAGTTTAACCAATGTAAACAAATCATCAGAAAATCATGTGAAGGCTCTTAGCACTGACTTGTACCAATATTTAAGTGCTGACATAAAACAACACTTAAATATATTAAATTAATAGATGAAAAAAAGATATTTATTCATCATTAGCAATAGAGAAGGAGAGGTAGATTAATATATACAGGGTGCAGCAAAAGTCCCGGGACGGCTGTTTATTTTTTAAACGGCTACATGTAGAAAAACGAATTTTGGGGGATGTCCTTGGGTCAAAGTAAGCTACTTTTTGTCACTCCCCAAAATTTGTTTGGGGGCCCCCCTAGGGGAGGGCGGGGGGCAACTTTTTTTTTTCAAATGGCAACCCCCCACTTGTGACCCATCGTTGAAAAGAGGATAAAAAAAGAAAATTTTTGGCGCAAGTCCCAGGTCACCATCTTGATTATTCACAAAATGGCGGCCGAAAATGTCTGAAAAATGGGTATCTCGGCCATTTATCGATGGAATCGCATACAACTTGGTATCCGGGGGTTTTTTGGGACGCAAAAAACCAGTCTGCCTTCAGTTTTCTAAATAACAATTCCTTCCCAACATGGCAGCCTACGAAATGGCGGAAAAATTGTTACCTCGGCTATTTATCAATGGAACTGCATAAAACTTGGTATCCGGGCGTTCATTGGGACGAGAAAAACGAATTCGTATTAGTTTTTTCAAAATTCTCACACTATTCTAAAATGGCGGCCAAAAATGTCATGAAATTATGGGTACGTTCGTAACCTACCCATTGATTACCGTGGAATTAAGGAGAAAACAGAAGTTTGTTGTAATCGACAAATTTTGGTGAAATTTGATACTAGGAGTATTTCCGGACCGAAAACAAGGGAGTACCGGTTTTCTAAAATCTTTAAAACCCCCTTTTTTTTTTTTTTTTTAAAAAAAATC